TTCCTCTATGCAGTATTTATTTAATTTTTTTTTAAAAATTTCGCTTCACTTCAAAAAAGCGAGCGCTTCGCTTCTCACTTCTCGTGAAATGGGGGTTGTCCGTTTTTCCTTGCTTCACGCTCTTCACAACATTGCGATAAATCGTCTATCCATCATGGGGGTTGGTACCTAAACTTGAAGTGCGGTTTTTGTGCAATTGCCTTAAGTTAATTCCACATAGGAATCAAATTGTTCAGGGCCATAAGTAGTGGTCCAAGTTTCCAATTGGTAGGCGCCTGTTGGGCTAAAAATTCAAGGTGACCAAACAATGAGTCCCAAAAGCCTTGAGGTGGTCCAGAGAGGTTCGAGCAAAGCGAACAATACCTGTCATGTTGGACTTTGGCCATGACAAGAAGAGGCTGCATCTATACCTATATGATATGTGTTCTTCATTTGACACAATGTCCATATTTGTATCTTTCATTATTATTTAATTCCTCAAAATATATATATAGATTCATGAAATTTCATTGTCAATTTTAGTAATTTTTTCCACTTAAACTTGTGATCAACCGTACTTTGCTCTATATAATTGGGCGGTATTCTTAGTCTATGATATGAAACCCGGTGGGTATTGTCCCTACTGGCTCGATCTTAAAGGTTGTGGGGTTCACATTTTGTCCCTTCGGCCGGACCCCTTTAGGTCATCTCAAGACTTTTGGCATTTGTCATAGCCAAGTTCAACATGACAACTATTTTTGCTTTGATATGATCCTTTAAGCTATCCAGGTTTTGAATGTCATGATTTTTGTCCTCTTGTGCTTTTAATCCAGAAGCCGCCTACCAAGTGGAGATCCTGACCGTTATTTATGGCTATTAACCTTTCCATTGATTCTGATGTTTGATGAGAAATAAAATTGAATATCGAAAATTCGAGCGGCTGAAGCTGAAGCAGTTACTTTCGAAGTAACAGAAAGAAAAACAACGACTGGAGTGGGAGAGTCAGAGTCAAAAAGAGGATTCGTCACTTCTTTCTCTCATTCAACACCGTGTATGAGACTTTCATCTCACTGTGAGATTCTCACACGACTCCTAAGTGATAAAAGAAAGAAGAATTCATTTTCTTTCTTTTTTGATTACCTTCCTCGCGTATGTGTAAGATAAAATCTATTTGATTTTTAAAAAGGATTACTAATCCTTAACTTTTCGTTGTCCCAAGGCAATTGTCACGTCGACCCCTCTTCCCCGACCCTCGAGTTCAAGTGTTAACACCCTTTTGGCGGCAATACTTCCTAATCTCTACAGACAATGGATAAATTGTCTGTTGAACGTGTATAATATATAGACATAGACTTTGATAATGAAGATTTAGAACAACTGACCATTTTCAACTACTCTGTGTGATGTTGCAATCAATTGTTTCGGGGAGGGGCGTAATATAGTGAGAATGAAGTTGAACTCTTTAGAGTTTGATCCTTTTTTTTTTGTCTTTGATTTTTGTTCTAGAGTTGCTTTTTTCAATGCATCTCTTGTTTCCTATATAGGTTAGTAAATTTGATCACCTTGTTTGTGTTCTCTGACGTCATATCTTGAAGGCTAGCTACATCTTGCATGAGCTACTTAAGTTTTTGAAATTGAAGATTTGCAACCTTAGATCGTTCCTTTCAATCGATAATACTTTAAGCTGGTTAAAAACCCCAGTTTATTTGCCTCACTCCAAACAGATTTTGTATTTGATAAAGTTAATTTTCAAATTGAATAGAGAACTGAAAAATGCTAGAGGAAGGTGACGAATTTTGCTTATTAAACCAATATTATTCAACTTCTTTGTTAGATAGTTATGTGTAAATAGTTCTAGTCCTATGTGTAGTAGGAGTAGAATATGTCCTAGTCTCATATGTAGTAGGAGTAGAATATGTATTATATATAGGGCTCATTAGCTATCGTGAGATATTTATCGCTGTGCATAAATTCTAGCGACTCTTGGAAGAAAAAAACAGTCCTTTTCTCGACAAATCTGGATTGTCCGCAAAAAGAAAATCATATCCGTCGGTGTTGTGCAAAAACCAACACCACCACGAGGTAGATCAGCTTCTCGCGACCAACCCGTAAAACATTTCCGGTAGAATTCCTCCCACGGGCCCTCACGCGCAGCCGAAAGAATATTTTTCGTCGAGACTATAGCTCACACGTCGGCGCGTGAGGTCTCTTCCGGCCATTTTTTTGGCCGAGCTTCTTTAGGACAGCCTGTTCGCACAGCAATTCTGAGTCCATCAGTACTGTTTTCGACATGTTCCAACAACTTTAAAACTATTCGGCGACCTAGAGTGTTTTTGTCACGACCCGAATTTCTCACCCTCGGAAGTCATGGTGGCGCCTACTATTGGGAGCTAGGCAAGCCAAACATTAATTACTTTTTCACTAACGACATAATCCTTTTTAACAATTATTAGTAATAATATAAAAGCAACGGATTTAACTAAATGAGCGGAAATCTTAAATTGAAGAAAAACTGAATAAAAACGCAGAAGAATTCAGCATAAGCCTCTACCTAAGACTGGTGTCACAATGCTCACGAACATCTAAGAATACTAAATACAATGTCTAAATGAAATATATCTGTTCGTCTCGAATACAATGAGATAACAGTCCCAAGTAAAGGATAGAGGAGACGTCGGGTCTGCGGACGCTTGCAAGGCTACCTCGGTGTCTTGCTGGACTGAAGGCCTGCTCCCACGCTACTGTTGCTGTTGTTCAAAACCTAGCCTAACCTCGGCGAAGTAGTGACGAGGCTAGGACCAACTACCAGATAAACCTGTGCAGTTCAAATATATATATATACAACGAAAGAAATACATGAAGTAAACAGTCAATAAACGAAGGGGGAACATGCTGTGGGGAGATAACAGTTTCTCATAGGAAATCTCAAATAAAGATAGAAGCAGCCAAAACCAGAATATCAATCAGAACCAGAAATCACAAACTTGCACGGCATCACCCTTCGTGCTTTTACTCTCGTCCTCACCAAATCAATCGTATCAGTAATCATGTGCATGACATCACCCTTCGTGCTTTATCACTCTCTTTCCTCACAGTATTGTCAATGAATACCAGTACGGAATGGTACATCGTACGACACGGCATCACCTTTCGTGCTTTACACTCTTTCCTCACAATATCAAACAATGCACGGCATCACCCTTCGTGCTTTATCACTCTTCCTCACCCAAACAACAATCGCAAATAAGGGACAGGGAAGTAAACAATTAATAATAGAAATTCCGGCAAGGGAATACAATTAATACTGTTAAATCCCGGCAAGGGAACAATATCAACAACTTCAATATCCTGACAAGGGAACAATATCAACAAAACATCTCGGCAAGGGAATAAACCAATAACTCTTCCTCTTTCTTTCATTTTTTACTTTATAATTCACTTTACTACTTGAGCCAATGCTCCAAAGAATCCAATTATCTCATATATCTTCACAATTCGTGTTACAACTCGAGTCAATGCTCCTCAGAGTTTAAAGATCACAATTTCTTTCACATGCTCTTTAGTCTTTACAACATATAGAAATCATCAAATAAGCATGGAGGTTACAACAAAATTATAATAATCGCAATATAAGGACTCACGGTCATGCTAGACACCAACATATAGATACTCGTCACCATGCCTATACATCGTACTCGACAATTAGCAAGTAACGAACAAGACTCAACTCATATTCCCTCGAGCTAAGGTTAGACCAAACACTTACCTCAACTTCATGGCCAAATCAATCCAGAACAACCGCTTTCCCTCTTGAATTCGGCTCCAACTCAGTCAAATCTATACAATAATGACTTCATAATATCAATATATGCTAAATAAATCAAACCCAATGCCTAATTATAGATTTCCAAGCTTTCTTCTCAAAATCCCAAAAATCGACCCCGGGCCCGCTTGGTTAAAACACGAGGTTCGGACCAAATTCATATCACCCACGAGCCCGAATATATAATTTGTTTCCAAATTCGACCCCAAAATGAGGTCTAAATTAAGAAAAAGTAAATAGCTCCAACTCTACCCAATTTCCCCAATTTCTACCCTAAATTACATGATTTGGGCTTAGGAATTCAATAGATGATGGAAAATGAAGCAAACAAGTTAAACAATGCTTACCCAAGAAGTTTTGATGAAGAAATACTCTAAAAGTCGCCCTAGAACCTTGGAGAAAAAGGAGTTCGTGAAGTGTTATGTTATTCCCGTCACTGGTTCTGTTTTGGAAATTTTAAATAACTGGGCAAAATTGCCCGTCGTGTTCGCAGAAGGAAGGTCGCGTTCGTGAAGGTCCATGCGAATGCGATGAAAGGAATATGCAAGACTACGCGTTCGCGAGTTGGTGTATGCGAACACGAAGAGGAAAAGGAAGCTGAGTCCTCAGGGTCAAATGACTATACGCGAACGCGAGTGAGGAATGCGAACGCGATGAAGGGAAGACTCAAAGCTTCCCGAATGCGGAGAAGGCGTCGCGAATGCGAAGAACAAAAACGAACCTGCAACAGCTGAAGCAAAAACTTGTAATTTTCCTTAGTTGAAATCACTCTGAAACACTCCCGAGCCCTCGTTGCTCCTAACCAATCACATGCACTAACTTAACAACATCTTACGAACTTAACCGTGCGATCAAATCGCCAAAATAACATCAGAAACAATGAATCACACCTCAAAATCACTTGTTTTTCTTCAAACTTCATTAACTTCCAAATTTGGAGTTTTAAGTCCGAAACACGTCAAACGATGTCCGATTTCAACCAAACTTCACAGAAATATCTTAAACCACATATAAGACCTGTACCGGGCGCTTGAACCAAAATACGGGCCCGATACCAACACGTTCTAATAAATTTTCATTTCAATTTTCCTTAATAATTCAAAAAAAACAATTTTACTCAAAAATATATTTCTCGGGCTTGGGACCTCGGAATTTGATTCCGGGCATATGCTCGATTCCCATATGTTCCTACGGACCCTCCGGGACCGTCAAATTATGGGTCTGGATCTGTTTACCCAAAATATTGACTGAAGTCAAATTTATTCATTTTAATACCAAATTTTAGTATGTTTTTATAGAATTTCACATTTAAGCTTTTCGGTTACGCACCCGGACTGCACACGCAAATCGAGGCGAATAAAAATGAGGTTTTCAAGGCCTCGGAAGCACGGAATGAATAAGAAAACAGGTGATGACCTTTTGGGTTGTCACAGTTTTTCGGCGTGAACAATTGGTAGAAATATGCTATAAAAGCTGCTCTCAGTAAAATTATTTTATTGTTTCAGCTTAAGAGTTATTTGCAATTTGAAATAATTTTGAACTAGTCTTTAGGAATGAACTAGTCTTTAGGAGTTTGTTATTTTCAGCAGATTTTGTGCTGATTTTTAGGTCTTTTAAGTTAGTATTTCTCTTATAAATTGTAGTCCAGATGCAGTGAAATAACTTAGAATTTTCAACTTCAGTTTTTTAGAATTCCCTTTACATCTATTCAAGTATATTCCTTTTATATCTTCCCTTATTATTTCCCTTAGTTTCTTTTATCAAGAACCAACAACAGTGCACTTTTAAATTCCGGAGTAGAATATGTCCTAGTCCCATATGTAGGAATAGAATATGTATTATATATAGGGCCCATTGTATCATTGTTAATAACTAGATTTTTCTTCCGTGTATTTTCACATACTTTAAATGTTCCAAAGCACTTAGAATTTCCGAACTGTTGAACCCATCCTATTTAATTAAAAAAAATCAGTCGTTTGCCCTTGAATATACTCACTTTTCTAACAAAGTAAATTTCTTCGGCTTGCATGGAGACACGAAGATCGCTGGAGGAAGGTGAAGAACATTGCTCGTTTTGTTCGATAGCTTCCCAGCCACTTCAGAAAAAACTGCTCTCACTGGTCTACAAAATACATGTTCAGTGCATTCAATTTGGATTCATCAGATGGAGAGGCTTGATTTATTGTGTGACATTATAAATGTAATATAGAATAGTGCATATTAAGTGTCTCATAGCAGGTGATATAACCATATAAATTGAAAAAAGTGGATCTAAAAGGATTCAAGCGTAAGACGGTATCTTTGCTCCTACTTTCAATCTATTCTTATGTTTATCTTCTCATATTCAAATTATCAGTTGGTCATGTTCATGTAAAATCCATTTCAGATTCGAAAAGAAAAGTCTGGCCAACTCGAGAAGATTGTATGAAAAGAATAGAGTGGCGTTGTATTCAAAGGGGGAGCCAGGATTTGAAACTATTGGGTTTGGGATTTTAACCTTTTTGTGTTACTGGGTTCTAAAGTTAGAATTTGTACGTATTCAATAAATTTCTTAAGGCAAATATATGAGTTTGGACTAAAGCTATTGGGTTAGGCCGAATCCATTGTCGAAGCTCTAGCTCCGCCCCTGGTTGTATTGTGTTGTCGGGCAGATGATCAAGAACTGAATTAGTTTTCAGTTTGTTAGTTTGACAACTGTAACTAAAGTAGCTTACCAGTTAATCAGGAAGATTCATGTGTAGCTATTACCTATTATCAATGTCTCTATTTATTTAATTGTGTACACCTTGTTATATTAGTTGATCTGTAGAATGATTAATTCATTACTTTTGCGACATTGATATTGTTGAGTTGCAGACATGGCGGAAGATCGAGCTCAAGTCAGAGCTCTAATGGTGGAGGATCTAGAAGGTTCATTCAGAGAGAGAAAATAGAAAAAGATATTTTTTGTATTATGATAAAAATGAATAATGTGTCAAATATATTGTACAGGACTAATCTATATACAATTGTGTATCTTCTATGATTAGCAACTAACTACCAATCACACTACAGCTAAGTGACAGCTAAGCAACTACAATACATAAATACATATCTCAACACCCCCCCTCAAGTTGGAGGTGAGGGCTTCACAGACAACTTGCCCAAAACAGTAGAATGCTTAATGCCAGTGAGAGCTTTGGTGAGTATATCAGCCAATTGATCAGCAGTTGATGTAAGGACACTAGGCCTTCTTGTAACTTGTCCCGAACAAAATGGCAATCAACTTCAATGTGCTTTATTCTCTCATGGAAAACAGGATTCTTGGCAATGTGTAAGGCAGACTGACTATCACAAAACACAGTAACAAGCTTAGGAAAGGGAACAGTCAATTCATCTAACAACCTGCACAACCAAGTTAGTTCACCCACCACCTTTCTGAGAGATCTATATTTTGCCTCAGCTGAGGAGAGGGAAATAGTTTCCTGTTTCTTAGATTTCCAGCTAATTGGACTATTGCCTAACAGAACAAGATAGCCATTAACTGATCTCCTAGAGTCAGGGCATGCTGCCCAATCAGAATCACAGTACCCCTTAATTGTGTAGTCAGAATCATTAGAAAGGAAAATCCCAAGTGCAGGGTCATTTTTCAAGTACTTAAGTAGATAAAAAGCAGTATGTAAGTGTGGCTCCCTTGGATCTTGCATAAATTGGCTCAAATATTGTACACCATAAGCAATATCTAGTCTTGTATTTGTAAGGAAATTCAGTTTGCCAACCAATTTTCTGTAGGATGTAGGATCAGTGAGGGCTAGGCCTTCCTTTGCTTTAAGCTTGACACTGGGGTCTAGTGGTGAAGAGGGACTCTTGTCATTGAGACAATTATATTCCTTGAGCAAGTCTAGTGCAAATTTTCTCTGAGAAATGATTGCTCCAGCAGGTGTATACAGAACCTCCATGCCTAAGAAGTAGTGTAGTATCCCCAGGTCTTTGATTTTAAATTGATCATGCAAGAAGATTTTCAGCTGAGTGATTTCATGCAAGTCTGTCCCAGTCACAATTACATCATCTACGTAGACAACAACAAATATGGCAGAAGAGGCTGACTTTTTATAGAAGAGGGAATAATCATTCAGAGAGTGGACATAACCCTTGGAATACAAAGCCTCAGCTAGCTTTGCATACCACTGTTTACTAGCTTGCTTGAGCCCATAAAGGGATTTATTCAGCTTACAGACATGTCCAGGAGTGTCTACCACTAGTCCAGGTGGCAGTTCCATGTAAACTTCCTCATGTAGATCACCATGGAGGAAAGCATTATTTACATCCAGTTGAAAGATATCCCAATGCTTATTCACTACTGTAGCTATTAGGGCCCTGACTGTGGTCATTTTCACAACTGGTGAAAAAGTCTCTGTGTAATCAACACCAGCTTGTTGAGTGTACCCTTTTACAACCAGCCTTGCTTTGAATCTTTCAATGCTCCCATCAGCCTCGTGCTTGATCTTATACACCCATCTACAATCAATGGCCTTTTTGCCTTGGGGCAGGGGAACCAAATCCTAAGTGTTATTAGCATGCAGGGCCTCAAACTCAAGGGTCATGGCTGCCAGCCATGCTGGATTTAAGGCTGCCTCTTCATATGAAGATGGCTCATTATCATGACTAACATTTTGCATAAGTAGTTGATTATCATGGATCAAAGAGTTAAGAGAGACATGCTGGTTACATGTAAACAAGACATCAAGAGAAAAGGGTGTAGTGTTAGTGTCAACAGTGTGAGTAGGATTTAAATTTGGAATGGAGCAAATATAGTCTTTCAAATGGGCAGGTAAGCTATGTTGTCTGGTTGATTTCCTAATGCCTAAATCAGGTATAACAGGAGGTTGATGAGAAATAGATGAAGGTTGAGGGGAAGGATGACTGGACTGATTTGAGATTTGAGGACTACTATGTGACAAAGTATTAGGAGGAATACTTGCAGGCCTTTGACCATCATGCAAAACATTAGGGGTGTGTGATTTAAAGATAGGCAAATCATCAATGAAAGGGACAGAATTAGGAACAGAAGAAAGATTGGAATTATCAGACAAGGTGTTAAAAGGAAAAACATTCTCATGAAAAACAACATTTCTGGAAATAGAAATCTTCCTGGTAGTTAGGCTAAGAACCTTGTAACCTTTTGTCTCATAGGGGTATCCTACAAATACATGAGGAGTTGTTTTTGGTTCAAATTTATCCCTGTGAGGGTGAGGAGTAGTAGGGAAACATAAACATCCAAAACTCCTAAAATGTGAATAAGTCGGCTTTTTATGAAACAACAACTCATAAGGACATTTATTTTTAAGATAGGTTGTGGGGAGTCTATTGATAATATAAGTGGCAGTTAGAAGACATTCACCCCAGTATTATAAAGGTAGTTTGGATTGAAATAAGAGGGATCTAGCAGTTTCAAAAAGGTATTTATGTTTTCTTTCTACTACACCATTTTGTTGGGGTGTGTAAGGGCATGTTTTTTGGTGTATTATACCTTTGGATTGAAAAATTGGGCTGCTTCATTACTGGTAAACTCTAGGCCATTATCTGACCTTAAACATTTTAGTTTGGTTTGAAATTGAGTTTCAATTAGAGACACAAAGGCTTTTATAGTTTGTAAAGCATTGCCTTTACAACTTAGGAGATGAGTCCAAGTGGACCTGCTATAATCATCTACTAGGGTGAGGAAGTATTTGAAATTATTGTGAGTTGCCACATGGTAAGGTCCCCATAAGTCCACATGAAGAAGATCAAAAGCTTTGGTGGTGATACTGGTTCTTTGGGAAAGGTAATCTAGTCTGCCTTGCCATGGGACATATAGGACAAAGGAATGGTTGTTTAGGTGAAAATTGGATTGGTATTGAAGTGATACTCCTCATTTTGACAAAAGGTACATGTCCCCGCCTGTTGTGCCATAATAAATCTGCATCAATGTTTTTAGACATGGAAGAATGCAAGACTGAATTCTGAGTTTTATTGCATGTGGGTGTATTTACAAATGAGTGATAAGGAGAATGTGACCTATTTACATCATGTGAAACAGGTAAAACATGAAATGGAAATGAGCAGTTGGCAGTGGATGTAGCAGAACAAGAATGCTTCAAGCAGCTTGAGCAAAGGAGGTATAATCCATCCTCGACCTTACCAATCTCCACAGGCCTGTTCATTGAAGGGGCATGTAGAAGGCATAAAGAATCAGAGAAGGCCACCAAACTTTTAAATTGAGAGGTTAAACAATGAATAGAGATCAAATTGTATTTAAAGGAAGGAACATAGAAAACTTTATGCAAGATGATCTGAGGTGCAAGTGTAACAGTCCCAATTTCAGTCACTTTTTACTCTGTAACCATTTGATAGGTTAATTTGCAAGGGGTATGGTAAAGTTATAGTGTCAGATAAGAGGGATTTATTGAAGGTCATGTGGTTAGAAGATCCCGAGTCTAGGATCCATATATCAGTACTTGATGTAAAACATTTGCATGATAATAAGCTATAATCAATGGAGAGAACAGAAGCGGAGCAAGCCATACCTGCAAAATTCACAGCTCCATTTGCAAAATTCACAGCTCCATTAAAAATGTTGGAGGTCTCTTTGTTGTTTCCATAATGAAAATGTTGCAGCACGGAAACCAGTTGCCCATATTGTTCTTTGGTCAAGTTGACATTGGAGTTACAGTTGCTTTCCAGAGATTCCTCTTCCTCTTGTTTGCTAGAATTGCTTTCAGGTGCACCGTGTACATTCGCCACAGTTCTCTTTCCTCTGTTAAACTTTGGATTTGAGTTGAACCCCTGGGGGTATCCATGTAGCTTATAACACTTTTCTTTAGTATGGCTCGGGCGCTTACAGTAGTCACAAAAAGGACGTGGTCTGGTGACATTAGGAGAGTAATTGTTGGGAGAATAGTTGGTTTTGAAATTGATGTTCCTTGATGTGTCAACATTAAACGAGTTAGAATCTGCATATTGTTGGTCATTTCTGATATTACTCCTTGGAACATAAAGACGAAGAGTCTATCATTACATGATTGCTTGGCTTAACCTCCCTCTGCTTCTCTTCTTGAACTAGTAGGGAGAATGCTTGTGCCATAGAAGGCAATGGATTTAGCATAAGAATACTGCCTCGCACAGTTGTATATACTTCATTCAGGCCCATCAAAAACTGAATCAAACGCATGTCTTGTTCCGCTTTATGCATACTTTCCTTAGCACCACACGTGCATCGACAGGTACACTGTGTTTTGGCACTTAGTGTACTCAGTTCCTCCCACAGCTTCTTCATTTTAGTATAATAACCTGTGATGTCCAAAACTCCTTGAGAGAGATCATTAATTTCCTTTTGAATTTGATATAATTTGGTTCCGTCGGTCAAATCATAGCGATCCTCCAACTCTTTCCACAACTCGACCGCATCATTTGCATATTCAACACTGTCAGCAATATCCTTGGCAAGAGAATTTAGGATCCATGATGTAACCATATCGTCACATCGTTCCCACAGTCGAAATTTCAAAGGCTCTTTCTCTGGATCTGGTCGCTTGCATTCGCCATTGATAAAACCTAATTTGTTTTTGACAGATAGGGCTCGCATAACACTCCTTCTCCATGATCTATATCCTAAACCACCAAAAGGAACTGGACACATCGCGCCGGGATTATTTGAAGGATGCATGTAGAGAGGACTGCTAGTATGAACACCGGGCTCGACCTCGAGGATCGATGGAGAACCGTCGGACTCAGTACTCGAATCAGTGATAGCCATGAGATAGGAG